CGCGGAGTCCCGGGCGGTCGCGAAGAGGGTTAACCCAGTCTCTGGCGGCGCGGCGTGCAGAGCCAGCCCCGCGGCCGGCTTATTGGGCCAGCGCGCGGAGAGACAGGGGTCTGCAGCAAATCACGAACTAATTGATTAAGGCGAGCGGGTTTGAATAGCGCTGGCCCGGTGCCAATCGCCTTTCAAAGAGCCCCTCTATGATTAATCGCAATGCATTATTGATAATCATAATTATAGCAGGACACATGCGCGCTGCGCCCGGGGCCGGGGAGCCGGGGAGGGGGCGGGCGGGCCGGCGGGCGGGGGGAGCCGCCACCGCCGCAGCCGCTCGATTTCCGTAATTTTGAGAAGATTTTTTTTTAGTAATTTTTTATTCTGCCCCAGCTGATGTTTGAGCCAGCATGTCGCGGAGGAAGCAAGCGAAGCCTCAACATTTCCAATCCGACCCCGAAGTGGCCTCGCTCCCCCGGCGAGATGGTGAGTGCTCCGGCCCGCGCCGCGGACACACACACACACACGCACTCACACTCACGCACACTCAGACCCACGCACACGCGGGCAGGCCCCCGTGCCCCCAGCCCCGCCGCCGCCCCCGTACCCCCGCTCGTCTTGTAGCCTCGGCATTTTTTCTTTTTCTTTTTAATTTTCAATTTGCCTTTGCTTGGCTTCCCCCCTGCCCTGGGGAAAGCAAACACATCTCCCGGCAGGATCTTTCCGGAGTTGTTGGGTTCTCCAGTTGGGAGGAGGGAGAGTATGCCTGCCTTTCTCCTCGGTCCCTGCTTTTCCGGGGCGAGGAGCCTGGGAGGCGCCCGAGCTGCTGCCGGGCCCTGGCGAGGCTCGGGTGCGAACAGAGGCTGTCTGAGCCCGCCACCGGGACCCAGCTCTTTCGCGCCGTACCCGGGCCCCCCAGCCCTTCTGCAAATGGAGAGTAAGTTTACTTGGTTCTCGGGGCTGAACTCCGAGCGTGGGGGGAGCTCCTTGCACGCCCCCGGGTCAAACTCTACTTTGGCCCGCGCACCGGAATGGAGCGGCTTTGGGGTGCAAAGCTGAAAGAAGGTGGGGACCTGTGTCCGGGTGCCTTGCGCCTGACGCGCTGAGGTTGCGGCCAGGGTAGAGAGTGCATTTTGCTGCTGGTTACTCCCAAAACAGAGAGAAGGGGGACGAAGAAGGGGCCGGGGGCTGGCTACCCAAGTTTGTCCCGGCATCTTTTCTCCCAACACGTGCACCCCCGACCCCAATGAATCTTTAGACGCGCCACAGCGTGCGCCCACTGGGGATCCTGGGACCCCGCACTTACATGTGGGTCGAAGAGGGACTCGTGGGGGTAATTTTTTAAGGTTGGGGCTATCCAGCCGGAGGAGAACCCCCTGAAACTTAGGCACTTTTTTTGTCCGATGGAGGCGACCTCTGCGGGGCCCCGAAAGGAATGGACAAGCCCAGAACAAAGTTTGTGTTCAGGACCTACGGTCGAGAGTGAGAGAGGTCAGGGCAGAGCATAACATTTGGGGTACGGAGGGAGGATACCTCGAATCCCTGCATATCCCTAAAATACTTCATCTTAGGAGCCTCGGGACGCTTAGGCCCAACGCCCGAGGCGACAGTACGGCTCTTGGGCTCTGTTCGCCGGGTCAGCCGGGCACTGTGTTCGCCTCCCGGCTGCCAGAAGGACGCGGGGCAACCCTAGCGGGGTCTGAGCGCCTCGGGATGTCTCCCAGGATGCTCACTTTTACTAAGAGGTATTTTGGGGCTCAAAGGATGGAGCTGGACCCCGACAGGGTTTAGAAGCACGTCTTCCATCGGTTTCTCTCCCTACCAAACTCCGAGGCCGGCCGGGGCCCATTGCCCGGGAGATCCTTCCCCAGAGGCCTGCCGCTTAAGGTGGAGCTGGGGCACAGCGACAGGATAAGAACCCAGGCAGCGAAGCGAAGGGAGCCCCACTCCCTTTACTCCACGGTCGGAAAAGGGGACGCCAGGCGGGGCAGGGCTGGGGGGGGTGGGGTGCTGCAAGAAACAAGGGTCCCAGTGACCGATTAAGAAAATTGTTTATAATATTTGCCCCCTTAGTTCCTTCTCAAAGCTTTTCAAGTCTTACCGAGAACCTCTGCGATTTTCTCAGTCCGCTGAAAAGAGCCCTCGAACCCCGCTTTCCACCCCAGACAAAATCCAGTGCGCTGGGTAAATCGGGGTGAAATGAAGCAAGGCCGTAGCAGCTACTCCCGGTATTTGTCCCGGTATTATCAGCTGGTTCTGCTGCTTCTCGCCCCCACAGCCCTCTTTCCTAAAGTTTCTGGTGAGACCTTCCGCAGCGAAACGCTGTCAGAGTTCATAGTTTGTATGCGAATAAAACAAACGAGAGAAAAGAGACAGATTTATTATTCTTTTTTATAAATTTGTATTAATTTTACCCACTTAAAAAAAAAATCCCGGGCTGCGCGGACAAATAATGGTTACTCTATCTCTCGCCTTCTGAATCAAGAATTTTTAATAGTTAAGACTTCTCATAAAGCAGTAGCGTAAAAGGGGTTCACTGCCTCTTACTATTATTATTTATTAGTACTATTATTTTTTAGTTTATTTGAGCTTTGAGGTGAGTTAATTAACTGAATGGACTTTCCTTTCTTTCTTTTTTTTCTCCCTTTTAATTTCTTTCTCATTCTTTTTCTTTTTTTTATCCCCAAAAGCTGGCTCATTGTCCTAAGAAGCTGTAAACTGTTAGGAGCACTGTAGGAACACTTTCCTCCCAACCGCCTTCCATTCCCCCTCCCCACCCCCTCCTCTTTTTACTTCTGTAGTAATGGTTTTAGGTTATGACTGTTTTTACATGGTTGAACAATAAGTTTGGGCGAAGTTGCCTAGAGGGTAGATTTTGTAACAGAGTTACAGGGTTTAGTGTTGTGAAATACAGTTGTTGTAGGGTGCTGTGGAGTAGATTTTCAACTTATAGCGACCTCCTGTGACAGAGTAAAACTGCCCCAGAGTTTCCTAGGCTGTAATCTGTTCTGGAGGGAATTGCCAGGTTTTCCACCCGCAGATCACTTGGGTGGGTTTGAACAGCCAACCTTTCTGTTAGCAGCCCAACTCAGCCTAACTACATCAGGGCTCCTTTTGTTGGGGAGATATTAGTACCCAACTAATCCTCCCCAATACCTGACTTGCAAAAGGGCCTTCCACACCCCAGCCCTTTTCATTTAGAAATATTTGTGGGATAAAAGGAATTGAGAGTTCATGACGTGACTCCCAGTTACCTTTAAAAAGCCACTTTTTCTTCTCCCTCTGCATCCACGCATCTCAAGGAGCGGGTGTGTGTTTGTTTTTTCCTAACATATATAAAGGGTGTTAAATTTTGGAAGCCAAACCCCTATTCAAAGTATTTGGCTATTTCCCCCCCTTATATCTTGAGATGGCCTTAAAATATGGCAATCTAAAATATGGAACATTCCATATTCGATCCAGTTTTTACTCTTCTGGGTGCCTGCCCGTCAGATTGACTGACTTTTACCTACAAGGGGACCTGGAAAAGTTCTCAAACCTCAGCTGCAGTAGCCCTGAAGGACCTGAGGTGCTGTGGGTGTCATGTCCATGTGTGTTTGGGTGTCTGTATGTGATTGGGGGGGGGGGGACACCCAAGCCATGGTGAACAACCACACTGATAAAACTCCATCAGAGCAAGTTCAAGAAAACAAGATTGTTTGGTCAGTCTTATAATGTTGATATTTTAATTGTACTTTGGTGCAGCTGAAATGCCAGAATGCCCTAAAATGAACTTGGGAATTTTGCTGTTTCTTATGAAGCCAAAATTATGGCAAATATGACTTATCTTTTAAATGATATTCAACAAGTCTTGAATTACTTGTAGAAAAATGACTGCCACTGGAAGGATTATGTACCCAGTTAAGTAATTGTGAGGAGAAGGGATGTTGAGTGTTTCTAATTTTATGTGTGTGTGCTTTACTGGAAATTGGACTTCAGTACTTTGTAGGTGTGTGTATGTTGGGTTTTTCCTCCTTTAATGGTGTTTTGAAGATGCCTGGAACTGCATGGATGGTCTATTCAGATTCCATTCATTTGTTAAGGAAGTGTTTTGGTGCTTCCTTTTTTTTCAAGGGAAAGATAGTATTGGAAGAAAAATGTAAAAATCGTAAATTGCGAATAAAACATTGACTTTATCGTATAAAGAATCATAAAAATTCCTCTTATTTATATTAATAATGAAATTCTATTATTTATCAAAGTAATTTACTCATTGTGAGCAGTTTAATGGCAACACATTGATTTCTGGGCCCAAAAGGTTAGAGAGAACTATAATTAATTGCTTTTTTTGAAAAACCGACACCTGCAAGATAAGGCTGTTGGAAAGAATTCATGTTTAAGCAGGCCTATTTTAAGTTTGTGGCATAATGGAAGATTCTGAATGAGAAAATGCAAAATGTTTTTTGCGATTGGAGTCAGGCTGCCCATACTTCCTCAAATGTGAGGAACACACACACAAACAAGCCAAGTCTAGCTAGGCGGGCAGATTGTGTGTGTACGAGTGAACTCGTGATACTGAATGTTGTGTGGTTTATTTTACATCAAGTTTCTCCTCTGGTTTATGAACACAAGTGCAAATTTATAGGGTAGTCTTTGGGGGCTTTATTTTGTTTCCTTCAACTTTACCAACAAAAATCCTTTAGCAGGTAGAAACCCACAATTTTAATGTGAAGATCTTACTGGGAACCTGGGGAGAAAAGGGAAAACTGAGTAGTTAAGGTTTTGTTTTTGTTTGTTTGTTTTTGAGATTGTTAAAAGCCAAGTTCCATGGAACAAACAAAACAATTCCTTTGACAATCTTAACCAGGTTTTCTAGCACATATACTGGTGTGGCTAGCGACATCTTCCTAACTATGGAATCGTTTAATGGAGGAGATTGTTAGTTAACCGCAGAGACAACACCCCTCCCCTGCCAAAGAGAAAAAGTTTGTGTGCCAGGCTTAGAAAACGTAGATGTGTTGAGCTGTTTTAACCTTTGCTAGCTTCCTTCCATGCAAAGGTGACAAGGTCCAGATCATAATATGTCCTTCAGTATCTTCCCAGTGACCCCCAAATTAAGTCTTGCTAGTCACTTAGCAGGAAGTTAGTAGTTTATTTTAGTTTCACCTTATCAGCTCGGCTTCTTTTCCTAACCTTATTCCCCTGTCACCCTCAGATGCCAGACCCCCAAAGGGGAAGATTGACAGGTAGTTCCCATAGCTCAGCTTTACCCTCAAACAACAGGGATTTAGTTTCTTGTGCCTCTGCCAATGTTTATGTAGTCAAAGTTTAGATCTCGCCTTAAGGAGTCTCTCTTTTACGCGTCACTGGAATAGGAAAGCCACAAAAGAAGTTTGTGAGCGAACCCTTGCAACTGGAACCCCATCTAGTGTTCAGTTTGATTCATCCATGGGGAAGACATTTTCCCCCTTTCATTTTTTGTGTACATTTCAGCGAGCTTGGGTTACTAGTTGGAAAGCGGTGTCTTGTACATGTTGGTATATTTTCAGAAATCTCACTTGTTTTGTGTTCTTCCACTCAAGAATACACTAACCCAGCTCAGAACACTGAGTGAACTTGAAGGTGCCAGTAAATTTGTCATTTGATTACATATCACATAGAGGAAACTTTAGACACGACAGGAAATATGCACAGCATATGTTTCAGTGGTTAAAATATCTTTGAAATCTTAAGTTGGACATCCAGATTCAGGCTTTTACCAAGTCTGTGCAAAAAAAAAGATAAAAGATTGGTCAATCAAAAAGGTCTGTGATAGCCTTTCCAAATGAGTCTACGGAAAGGAACAGCCTATTAAAATGATGAACTCTAAACTCAAAATTGTGAAGGGTTCTATTTAAAAATGTCAAGGCACTCTTAAGGTAAAGGGAAGTACAGTGAAGTGACTTTCTGAGGAGCTCCAAAAAAGAAAGCTAAATGTGGTGTAGAGTAGGTTTGGTTTGGTTTGGTTTTCTTTCTTTTTTTTTTTTTCCCCCCTTTCCTGGCTAACTGTGTGTGGGGCATAGTTTTATTTTTGTTTTCTCAGGCTGCAAATATGCTGGAACACTTCAATCTTCTGCTTCCTATTCCACAGTGTTTGGTTTAGATGATGAGAAACTGACAAATTTGATTTGGGCATCATGTACCCAAACAGGAACTAAAACTCTGGAATTTTGGTATAAATTGGGTGGAGCTATAAGATCATCTCCCCCTGCACCCCCCCAAAAAAGAAATAAAAATATTAAAATATCTTTTTGTGCATGTATACTTAGAAAACCATTATTTCTTAAATTTTCCTAGCTGAACAGGATTACAAAATTAATTTGCATGCAGAATCCATTGGAAAGGAACTGGCGCCTCATTTTCACCATAGTACAAGGGAGCAGGGCAACAATGTTTACTATGATGGGTCACCAGTTGCAGTCCTGTGTACAAATTATTGAACTAGATACAAACTAGCAGACCAGTGGGGAGGGATGAATTAGAACATGTTAGCTGTGGGCTTTTTTTAGTTTAGTTTTTTTTTTTTTGCATTTTCTTACAACTTAAAATATTCCCCTTGGTAGTTAAAGATTTCAAACTAGTCCTCATGTTTTACCTTTGTCTTTTTTTTTTTTTTAAGGTGTTTCATTGGAATTCTGTTCACAATGCAGATAGGTTTAAAGTTAAGAACTATTACAGTTGATTACAGTGTAGCAACACCTGCTTTTGATATAAATCAAAACAGATATAAGGATTTTTGTATGTGTGTGTGTGTTCATAAATATCAGGAAATTAAATTAGTTGCCTCTATACCAAGATCAAATGTCAGTTTCTTAAAATGTTGTGAAAATCTAAGCTAAAATATGGCAACTTTTTAACACAATGTCTGTCTTAGAAGCCAGCAGGCATTTTTTTTTTTTTTTTCCAAGTGTCTATATTTTCCATCCAGTTAGCACAATCCTAAATATAAAAATGTTCAGGTTGAACAGCTTGAAAAATCTCAAGTGAGTCTTGAGGCCACACAAATGTAGACTTGGAGTGCAGGAAAGTAATAATCGGCTAAATCCTATAAAGTAACCTTCCTTTTATTTTTCTCTATACATTATTAGAATATCAGATGTTTGCATGTTATAAAGAATTAAAATACCCTTTAATCGTGAGCACAGATGTGCTAAATATTTGAAGCAACTACATTGTAATGTGTACAATTGATGAAGTCAGTTTTCTGATTTCCCTTGCTAGTTATTTAGTTCTGAATCTGTCATTATTTGTCTAAGCCCAGCTGACCAAGCAAAACTGTGTTTTAAAGTGGCTTTATGTTTTGATAAATGTGAGCTGGTTGAAAAGTATTTTCCACTGAATGCAGAGCTTAATAGAACATGCTGACATAATAGTTTTAATGCATTTTGTTGAAAATGTGTGAACAAACAGAATAGCTTTTGTTCCTTCATAATTGGCTGTAAAAGTAGATGGAAACATAACCATTACATATGGAAATGTGCAAAGAGAAAGAAATAACATTTCTGTTGAATATATTAGGAATTGCATTTCCTAGTTTAAAATAAGCATCTGAAATGGATGCATCATTTAAAATTGGTTGTCAAAATAAGAAGCTTTAAACAGAATTTTTGTCACATTATTTTTGTCCCAAGTTAAGCAACATAACTTTAGTGAATTTCGTTTAATATTTTGTTTATATGATTTTAAGGCAGAAGAGAGACAAAGTACTTACAACAGCACCTTGGACGTGCATAGGAATCTGGTGCCAATTAGGATGATTAAACATTAAATTAAAACTGAATCATTATTGGTATTTTTGGCTACAATAAGATTTGTTTGGTAGTGTTAATGGGTTTTGCACTAGACCCTTGTGGAGATGCAAAGATGAGTATTAGCAAAGCTAGCTTGTTAAGTATAACTTAACTACCCAAGTAACACTCCCAGTGAATAAAAAGTGCAGCATTTGGAATATTTTGTCAAGGGGTCCTAGTCAACTTCGTCATCACTAAAGGCAAACAGAGTTAAGTAATTTTCAGAAGTTAGCACTTAGGTATTATATTTTCTGGAATGAAAAATCAGTTTTTGATGTTTCCTATAAAAAGGCAAATGGATGGCTCTTTTGAGTTGACTCTAAGTTCACCGAAAAGCAGCATTTTGATTTTTGCATTTATTCATAACTGCAATTACTTTTTTTTTTTCTCCCCCTGCAAGTTTTCTGGGAGATTCAATTTGGAAGTCATGGAAACTACCTATTATCTGATTCAGTTCTGGGGGAAAAGAAAAAGCATGCAGGGAGGTAATCCTTGAATTAAACAGTTTTTTTTTTTTTTTTTCCTTCCACAGCCTTCCAAGATGACCACACACCATTTGTACAACAGAAGTTGGTGTTCCCCATGCTGGGCAAACAATGGGACGCCATCCTGTCTTTGAATAGGATGTTAGCCTGGAGTTAGAGATTTTTATGTTTAATTTACAAATGGATCTTAGCGAGAAGAAATCTGAGCAACCAGTGGAAACAAACATGAAATAAAGGGATTTTTATAATGAAAGGTTCAGGACAATCTGTTAAACAATTGATAACAGTTAAAAGCAAACTGTTTTTAAAGGCATTCAGACAAGGAGAATTGCAAAGCATTTCCAAACTCTAAACCAAGAATGATTTCTTATGGCATGGGAGCGCTTCCTCGTAACTGCACATCCCTCTTTAAGTTGATGTTTAATCAGAAATGTAAATCTTGTGCCAGTTTTTATAGATATAAAGAGCACTTTTGATGAAATATTTAGAGGCATGATGTTGCCATTTGGAGCATATTGGCATATATTCCTTGATTAGTGGAATGGTAGCCTGGGTTGCATTCTTTAATGTTAAAAATAAACATGCCATGGGGTGATATATAGGTGCCAGACAGGCCTTGTAATGGACTATGATCATTGTGTTTTCTCCTCATTGTGTGTGTGTGTGTGTGTGTGTGTGCTTTCTCTTTTGTATTCTGCTGGGTCTTGGAGGAGCAGCCTTGGAGTGTTGGTTACTGATGTGACTAAAGTGTATTTGTCATGGATCAGACTCCGCTCAGGTTCTAGGTAGGGGCTGGAGGTGATTTCCAAGTTGTCAGTCTACAGCTTGGTGGTATGCATTTTTTTTTCCCCCTTGTCAACAACTGATTGGAACTTGAATGACTACAAATTAGTTTAGTGACAGAACAAACTGTCACAGATATCTTTGAATCAGTTGAAAATGAATAAGGTTGACAGAAACTCAAGAGCCTAATGAGTCCTCAGAATGGTTGCCGGACACTCTCCAGACAAGTCGACAATAAGGTGTATAAAATATTGGAAATCAATATTTTGCTATGGAATTTTATCATGCACCAATGTCTTCAGTTCATAGTATTTTATATTTTGATGGATTATTTGAAGGCCATGACTCTCCAAGATACCAGATAGATAGGAATTCCTCCCACTCTTTAAAAATTAATTATGAATGTCTTGGTTACTATTGATTGGTTTTCCAGGGCTACAGTGTTCAGTTTTGCAGGTAGAAAACAATTGATGAACCTGTTTTTTTTTTGTTGTCGTTTAAGTCATAGATGAGTCTGTGTTCAGGCTTCCTCTCTAACCCTGTGCCTTTTGATATTTGTAGGAGACACGGAGAAGGGTCAACCAAATCGAACCACTAAGAACAAGGACGCCCACGTCTGTGGCAGGTGCTGTGCTGAGTTCTTTGAATTATCCGATCTTCTGCTTCACAAGAAGAACTGTACTAAAAATCAATTGGTTTTAATCGTAAACGAAAATCCTGCTTCCCCTCCTGAAACCTTCTCCCCCAGCCCCCCTTCCGATAATCCCGATGAACAAATGAATGACACAGTTAACAAAACAGATCAAGTAGACTGCAGTGACCTTTCAGAACACAACGGGCTTGACAAGGAAGAGTCCATGGAGGTGGAGGCCCCAGTTGCTAACAAAAGCGGCGGCAGCACTTCCAGTGGCAGCAACAGTAGTTCCACGCCAAGCGGCGAGAGCAGCTTCTCCACCGGTACCTCAGCCATCACAACCTCTCTACCTCAACTCGGGGACCTGACAACACTGGGCAATTTCTCTGTGATCAACAGCAACGTCATCATCGAGAACCTCCAGAGCACCAAGGTGGCAGTGGCTCAGTTCTCCCAGGAAGCGAGGTGCAGTGGGACCTCTGGAGGCAAGCTGGCCGTCCCGGCCCTCATGGAGCAGCTCTTAGCTCTGCAGCAGCAGCAGATCCACCAGCTGCAACTGATCGAACAGATCCGTCACCAAATATTGCTGTTGGCTTCTCAGAACACAGACTTGCCAACATCTTCTAGTCCTTCTCAAGGTACTTTACGAACATCTGCCAACCCCTTGTCCACGCTAAGTTCCCATTTATCTCAGCAGCTGGCGGCAGCAGCTGGATTAGCACAGAGCCTCGCTAGCCAATCTGCCAGCATCAGTGGTGTAAAACAGCTACCCCCAATCCAGCTACCTCAGAGCAGTTCTGGCAACACCATCATTCCATCCAACAGTGGCTCTTCTTCCAATATCAATATATTGGCGGCAGCAGTGACCACCCCCTCCTCAGAAAAAGTGGCTTCAAGTGCTGGGGCCTCCCGTGTCAGCACCCCAGCAGTCTCAGCAGCACCCTCACCAGCTTTTGCAATAAGCAGTTTATTAAGTCCTGCATCTAATCCACTTCTACCTCAGCCGGCCCCTGCTAACTCGATTTTCCCCAGCCCTTTGCCCAACATCGGAACAACTGCAGAGGATTTAAACTCCTTGTCCGCCTTGGCCCAGCAAAGAAAAAGCAAGCCACCAAACGTCACTGCCTTCGAAGCGAAAAGTACTTCAGATGAGGCGTTCTTCAAACACAAGTGCAGGTTCTGCGCGAAAGTCTTTGGGAGTGACAGTGCCTTGCAGATCCATTTGCGTTCTCATACTGGGGAAAGGCCGTTCAAATGCAACATCTGCGGAAACAGGTTCTCTACAAAGGGAAACCTGAAAGTCCACTTTCAGCGCCACAAAGAGAAATACCCTCATATCCAGATGAACCCGTATCCTGTGCCTGAGCATTTGGACAATATTCCCACAAGTACCGGGATTCCATACGGCATGTCCATCCCCCCCGAGAAGCCAGTCACCAGCTGGCTAGACACCAAACCAGTCCTGCCCACTCTGACCACTTCAGTTGGCCTACCATTGCCCCCGACCCTCCCTAGCCTCACACCCTTCATCAAGACGGAAGAGCCAGCCCCCATCCCCATCAGCCATTCTGCTGCCAGCCCACCAGGCTCAGTCAAAAGTGATTCCGGGGTCCCGGAGCCGGCTACGAGAAACCCAGGTGGGCTCCCTGAAGAAGCTGAAGGGTCCACTTTGCCACCCTCCAGTGGCAAAACCGAAGAAAGCAGTGTGGTCACCAGTTTGGTCCCGACAGTGAACAACAGCTCCCTGAGCTCCCCAGCTGGGGACCCTGGCCCGGGCAGTGCTGCCACATTCACCAACCCACTATTGCCGCTCATGTCAGAACAGTTCAAGGCTAAGTTTCCTTTTGGGGGACTGTTAGACTCAGCTCAGGCATCAGAAACATCCAAGCTGCAGCAACTGGTAGAGAACATTGACAAGAAGGCAACTGATCCCAATGAGTGCATTATCTGCCACCGAGTCCTCAGTTGTCAGAGCGCCTTGAAAATGCACTACCGGACACACACTGGGGAAAGGCCCTTTAAGTGTAAGATCTGTGGCCGGGCTTTCACCACAAAAGGGAATCTTAAAACTCATTATAGTGTCCACCGGGCTATGCCCCCACTCCGAGTCCAGCATTCCTGCCCCATCTGCCAGAAGAAGTTCACAAATGCTGTGGTCCTGCAACAGCACATCAGAATGCATATGGGAGGCCAGATTCCCAACACCCCAGTCACTGATAGCTACCCCGAGTCCATGGAGTCTGACACGGGCTCCTTTGATGAGAAAAACTTTGATGACCTCGACAACTTCTCGGATGAAAACATGGAAGATTGTCCTGAGGGCAGCATCCCTGATACGCCCAAGTCTGCGGATGCATCCCAAGACAGCCTGTCCTCCTCACCTTTGCCCCTAGAAATGTCGAGCATTGCTGCTTTGGAAAATCAGATGAAGATGATCAACGCTGGCCTGGCGGAGCAGCTGCAGGCCAGCCTGAAGTCGGTGGAGAATGGGTCCGTGGAGGGGGATGTCCTGACCAATGACTCGTCCTCAGTGGGTGGTGATGTGGAAAGCCAAAGTGCTGGGAGCCCAGCCATTTCAGAGTCTACCTCTTCCATGCAGGCTCTGTCCCCATCCAACAGCATGCAGGAGTTCCACAAGTCACCCAGCATCGAGGAGAAGTCTCAGAGAGCGTTACCAAGTGAGTTTGCCAATGGTTTGTCTCCCACCCCAGTGAATGGTGGGGCTTTGGATTTGACCTCTAGTCATGCAGAGAAAATCATCAAAGAAGATTCTCTGGGAATCCTCTTCCCTTTCAGAGACCGGGGTAAATTTAAAAACACTGCTTGCGATATTTGCGGCAAAACATTTGCTTGTCAGAGTGCCTTGGACATTCACTATAGAAGTCATACCAAAGAGAGACCATTTATTTGCACAGTTTGCAATCGTGGCTTTTCCACAAAGGGTAATTTGAAGCAGCACATGTTGACACATCAGATGCGAGATCTACCATCACAGCTCTTTGAGCCCAGTTCTAGCCTTGGCCCCAATCAGAACTCTGCAGTGATTCCCGCCAACTCATTGTCATCTCTCATCAAGACAGAGGTCAATGGCTTTGTGCATGTTTCTCCTCAGGACAGTAAGGACACCTCCACCAGTCACGTCCCTTCTGGGCCTCTGTCATCCTCTGCCACGTCCCCAGTTCTGCTCCCAGCTCTGCCCAGGAGAACTCCCAAACAGCACTACTGCAACACGTGTGGCAAAACCTTCTCTTCCTCGAGTGCCCTGCAGATTCACGAGAGAACTCACACTGGAGAGAAACCCTTTGCTTGCACTATTTGTGGAAGAGCTTTCACGACAAAAGGCAATCTTAAGGTACCTCATTCTGTCTGCACCCCACCCCCCATCACCCTTCTTTCTCACCGCCCCTGATGATTGCTAATGCATGCCCCGAGTGTCAGCAGCCCAGCCCAGGCATTCAGGGAGAGATTTCCCGCAAGGGAACCTGCCACATGGGGCTAGTGGGGGAGAGATGGGGGTGCCTGTGCGCATCAGGATTGTGGCAGGGATGAGGGCAGGTTGCAGCTTGCTGGATGTCAGAGTGCATTGAATAATTTGGTACACCAGCAAAGCAGCAGCCTATCTCTGTTGTCTTGCTAAGTGCACCAAATGAATTGCTTTACCTACCAAATAAGACAGCCCGGCATTGCCATGGGGTATTGATTAAAGACCTCCATGTGGCCTGTGTGCTGCCCGTATCACTTAATAATTACGGTGCTCTTAGGCATGTGCCTCTATTTTTCATAACTCTGCAGTCCAGCATGGCTTCTTTTTCTAAAAACAATAACGTCACTGCCCGGCTAATGGGCATTATGATAATTGATTATACAACATTTCCTACTGATATGTGTTGGAAATAAAGCAAATATGCTTAAGTTCTAGAGCAACAGTTGAGCACTCTTACTGTGTACATTTTTCTGTTGACAGAGTATTTCTCCAGAGATTGCTGCCAGTAATGTGAGATGAATAATTACTTTCTGGCTTTTCTCGCCATACGCGGGCCCTCCAATGGGCAATCAGTGATGGGTACTTTCTTCCCATCTGAAAAGAACATTTATAGGGTAAAGGGTGTCAGATACAATACTTACCATTGCAATGAGAGTGGACATAACAATTCTCACCCTGAAAGGAGCTATCTGCTACTCACTGGCTTGCTTGAGGCCATTATAAGCTAAATACAGGTAATAAAAACAGAGTAAGTAAGGCATCTTTGCCCAGAAGAAGGAAGGAGGCCCAGGGCTGCAGACAGTGGATGCGTTATTACTAGTCAGTGGGAGTGGATGGTTCCCGTTACCTTTTCCGCTGTCTGTCACATAACAAGAATAGACATTTAGGCCACTTGCTTTGTTGCGTGTTGGGATATGAGTTGAGACAGATTCAACTATTAAGCTTCTCCCTCCCTCTGCCCTCCTGCCACCCCTCCTTTTTATCTCTCCCTCTCTCTTTCTCCCTGTATCTCAGGTACACATGGGCACTCACATGTGGAACAGCACCCCCGCACGGCGGGGCCGGCGGCTCTCTGTGGACGGCCCCATGACATTTCTAGGAGGCAATCCCGTCAAGTTCCCAGAAATGTTCCAGAAGGATTTGGCAGCAAGATCAGGAAGCGGAGATCCTTCCAGTTTCTGGAATCAGTATGCAGCAGCGCTCTCCAATGGGCTGGCCATGAAGGCCAATGAGATCTCCGTCATTCAGAATGGTGGCATCCCTCCAATTCCTGGAAGCCTTGGCAGCGGCAGCAGCTCACCTATTAGTGGGCTGACGGGAAATCTGGAGAAGCTCCAGAACTCAGAGCCGAATGCACCTCTGGCCGGCCTGGAGAAAATGGCAAGCAGTGAGAACAGAACCAACTTCCACTTCACCCGCTTCGTGGAGGACAGCAAAGAGATTGTCACCAGTTAAAGCAGCTCGGGCCTGAGAAAGAACATTCCAGTTCAGAATGTGACCTGCGGTCGCCTCCTCCTCACCCCATCCCCTGTCCACTAGTCCCCCTGATCTATGAACTACATCATTATGAAGACATCCTTTTGTACCTTGTTCAACTTCTAGAGTTCTAAGAAAGTTTATTTATTAGTGATATAACCTTGCTTTGCAAACAGAATGCAAGCATTAACTTTGGTCTTCTGTATTTTGAACTAAATACTAATGGACTAGAGTGTTGTAAACTTGCTGTAACATTTATGGCAATTGCAAGTTGCCCTGCTAGGCGGTCTTAATCTGGCATTAACTTATTTTCTATATCCAGTTTAATATGAATCTGGTGTTGATGCAATGCCTCCATGATGCATTAGATCTCTAATAAAGTCTGTATATAAATGTACACTTTAATCCTGCTGGAAAATTTTATCAGCAAACACATTGTCTAATCTTTTGAAGCAGATTGAAGGCAAGGACCGAAAGTACAGACTGAACAGTGTGGTTCTCTGAAAGGTTCCTTTTTTTTTTTTTTTCTTTTGATTCTAAAATTCGACCTTTTTTTTTTTTTTTGATAGATTTAATCATTTCCGTTTTGAACTGCTATTTGTCTTGTGCATTTTACTTGAGTCGTCTTCAATGTTAATAAGTTTCTGTACAGTAATAAGCACGCAGAATTCTTTAGAGAAATACAAGTGTTGTTTTGGTAGTTGAAACTGAGACGTAACATTTTGCCTTGTAGGTATATTCACAATAGAAAAAGTGTGCTGGAATTTCACAATGCTGCTAAGTATAGCATCTTGAACAACCTTCAGTGGAGAAAATGTAGATGCTCTTGTATATAGAGACAGTAAGAAATATCACTTTCATTAAAATGTACATATGTTCCTTACAAGAGCAGATGCTTCTTCTTGATCCAGAGAGCAGGTATAGTATTTGTTTATTTTGTATTAGGTATGAAAGGAAAAACTTGGACTGTTACATGCACTTTCTTGGAAAGTTGAAAGGAAGGGGGGGGGTCCAATTTCTTTTAACATTTAATACTTACTAACAACAGAGATACTGTAATTTTACTTAAGTAATCAAATACATTTTTTTTTGCAACAGATAAAAACAAAGTACCGTGTCTGTGATTTTAGAGTGCATTTCTATCAACCTAGGCCCCTAAATGTATTTTAACATTTCCCCAGATACCAGGAAATTGTCTAAATGATGATGTATCTCTTGCTAAATAACACATTGTAAAAGGTGTAACAGGAATGAGATTGCACAGGCCTGTTACTTTGGAAAGTCTAGCTATTTTCCCAATATCCATTGCTTGTTTGGAAATGTATTTTATAGTTCACTTCACTCCTCACACTCCTTCCTCACAAGAAAAGAAAAGACCTGAGAGGAAAGACGTTGGAGGTTTCTTCTAGACCAGGTAAGTTTTCTTAGGGCCGACATTTGTGTCCATTTGAACCTGAGCTGTTGCATTTTCTCTTCTGTGATGCAGTCGTTTGTTTCAGGCAGCTGCTAGCCACAGAGCTAGAGAGTTCCTGATGCGGCAGGGAGTTTTACAATCTGACTCTGAAACTGGGCCTCCACCCAGGGAGGTCAACGTGTTCTTTCGTTAATTAGTCTTCTAGGCATGTAAACGCACATGCATATTTGAAAGGAAAAGTCAACTATATTGAGAGTCAACTTGAATGCTTCATCAAGATCCGACTTAATTCTGCCACTCTCTCTTTTGTTCTAGGAGGGAATATGTTTTCCTCCTGAGCAGTATATGGGGGTGAGCAAACGGACAGGATAGAAGGTGTGTCTAGAGGGGTCGGCGAATTTCTTTCAGAGAGGCGGTCAGGTAAGGCAGAAGTGTGGGCCGCTTTCCACAGGGTCGCAGGCCCCTCCAGGGCCCGGCGCCTCCCCTGACCATAGTATCATTAGACCTAAGTGCTGCAGGCCTTCGTGCTGGCGGGGAGGTGCGGGCCCGAGGGGGTGCGCGAAGGGACCAGGAAAGAGGGCATGGGGGTCAGGGCGGCGTCGTGGTGCAGAAAGCCATCCTGCCCTTCCATCACCGGAAGATTACAGGGCAGTATTTCTCGGTTTCCTCTTTCCCATCCCGCATACACTCCGCCCCAGGAGAGAAACCTGGAATCCCAGCCAGAAGCTCCTGTTCTACACAGGCGAAACTAGGACGTTTTCATTGAGAAGCGTAGGTTACCTTCCCATTGCGGGGCGTGGTGAGGAGAGGGGTCGCCCCCCGCCTTGCGAGATTTCAGGTACTGGCGCTCCGGGCCACAGCCCTCACCCTAGGGGGCTTTAAAGGCCGCCACTAACCGTAAGGGACCGATTTCGATAGACCCCACCACCCTGCACACACCCGGCTCCTGCGCCTCGCGGCCCCTCGCCAAAGGGCCAGTCGGGTGAACCCCGGAGAGAACAACGCACGCAGCAGCCCTGTCTACCCCTTTCAACCCCTGGCCTCCAGTCGCCGCTGCTCAAACCACCTCCAACCTGGGCCGAGCGGCGCTGGGAGCGCGCCGGGCGCGGAGGGGACCGACTGCGCGCCCTTTTCCGCAGGGCGGGCGCAGCGGGGCGGGGAGCCGGGTGGTTTTCCTTGCGCTTCTCACCAACAGCCTCCTCCTCCCAGAGTTTTCTGAAAGTGAATTAAGGGGAGAAGTAGCTTCTCGTTTTGAGGGAATTTCTGAGACCGCCGAAGCGCTTGGAAAAAGGTCGGAGCTTCACGGTCTTGATCTCAGTCTCTGCCTTCCCTCGCTCCTCCCCTCCCCCTTTGTTCTTGCCTATCCATCTATCGATCGACTATCTTTCTCATCTATTGATCATTACCTGCCCATTCCTCTTGCCATCCATTTCCAAAACAAGAAGTCGCCCTCAGCCCTCCTCCTGCTCACAATGTGATAACTACGCTTAGCCTTTCCCTTTGGGCTCAGCCCAGCAGAAGAGAAATGGGTTTCTATTTTAAAGCGACGTCTTTATTTTAAAGCGAACGCCAGCCGTTCAGGCAGCCCCATCTTGGCTTCCCCGCCCCCACCCCGGGCCCGCCACACCTCATCATTTGCATTTTCCTTCCCCTTCTGGAACTTGAGGTGCTTCGAGGTAGTTTTGGAACCACTGTGGACCGAATGTACTGAACTAAGGAGATTTGTTACGCCTGGAACGATGAAGCTAAATTCACAGAATTTTGATCCTTTTGCTGACGTTTTTCCCCCCCCTCCCCCCCGCTTACTCTTTTTGTGTGTAAATTGTTGTAAACATACAGAAAAGTACAGCGAATAATGTAAAACTCCCTTGTGCTGAGCACTCAGAATTAGCAAATATTAGCAACTTGTTTTCCCGGTTTTAGCAACTAGGCTTTTTGGTTCCTCCCTTTCTGTCTCAGTGTGTCGCTGTCCTTCTTTCAGCCTCTTTCTATCTCTTCCTGTGTCCTCCCTTCCCTGCCTTCCTTTGTTGTTGTTTTCTTTTTCTTTTTCCAATTTTCCACCACCCTTCTTTCTGGAAAATAAACCGGAAAGGACCAGAGGGGGGAAAATGGAAGAGAGATTCTTAATGACAGACCCAAGCAGCCCGAGACACCCCCGCCCCCCATGCCCAAGGCTGAGAGGGAAGAGGGGACAAGGGAAGGGGACAGATCAATTGGAGATATCTGAAGCTAACTTTGGGCCTGAGTTTTCAAATCTCAATCCTGGCAGGACATGTTTATTCAAATAACTTTTTGGGGGGCGGGGAGTGTGGGGAGAGAAATTTTTTTTAAATTAGGATAAAGTTTTCAAATAGAAAATCCTAAATGATTTGCAGTTAACATGAATTTCTAGCAGTACATTATTTGCTTATTGTTTTTGGCGTATCGTGAATGTCAAGAAGAGAGAACATATATATTTTTTTTAAAGTATTGCTCCCGCTCTGTTAAAACTTAGCAGTCCTGTTAGAAAAATAAAGCAATGGAGTCTTTACTGGGAGTTACAAACGCCACCCCAGATGAAACATGTCAGAGGGGTAACAAAGTGGGAAAAAATGTAAAGTGAGTTTCAAAGGGCTCCACAAGCAAAGTGCAATCGGAGATTCACAGAAAGTGGAGACGGATAAGACAGGAATGAGGTCATCTCATCCAGACCCCAGGAAATATGTTTAGATCAAAGCCTGCTCTGTTAGGATAAACAAAACAGGACCCATTGGGCCCTACCAATATTTTCATCTCCATGCAGAGGGCTGCTAATCTAACCAGCTCTGGTTGATGAAAGGGTAAAAATGACCACTGTAAAGATGACTAATAAAAATAAGGATGTCCTCTCAACTCTAATGGCAAGATAAAGATTTAGATTTGAGCTAAAAAGTAACAAGATCCAGGCCCAGATCAACACAAACTTCCCGGAATTTTAGCACTGAGTAAATTATCTAATCCCAGCCCATTGTTCCCTCCTTGTGCCCCCAACCCATGAGACTGAGTATGCTAAATGATTGACATTTTTAAAATGGTTAAATTTTAACTCCAGTCTAAGAACTCCAAGAGGCAGACTTTTGGGTTCACTTACTTTACATTCCTTAAGAGCCTTCACAACTCCACACACACACACACACACACACACACACACACTGGCCACCTACCCCCCAGGCAGTTGTTGGGGTAGCATCCTGCCCTTTATTGTTGCGGGTGGTTCTCTTTAAATCCCATCTTAAAGTTTGTCTCTCTTTCCATTGTAACCACAGATTGACAGGGACCAGGAGTTTGTGTCATCCAAGCCTTGCTGTGGGGCCATAGGGACTCAGCAGCAGTTGATATTTTAACAGCTCAGCCCAAGTCCTGTGTAAGGCTTGTTTTCACCACAGAACCAATGGCCTCACACCAACTGCCAGGGAACAATCGATAGATAGAAACCTCCAGAAAAGGGACAGGAAATCCCAGAGAAGGAAAATTCACCCAGACTAAATCCAGGGTTATAGTTCCTTGCTGAGCCTGGTTTCCTCTTAACTGTTTAAACATATAATTT